GGGTGGGTGGGAAAGGCTGTTAAGCTGAACTGTATTCTGACTTGAACCTTGCAGTCTTGAAAGATATATTCCCATCTCATGGGGTTTTTCAATTAACATCATCTAATGCATTAGTAGCGTGGTTTGAAACTCCTGAATTTCAGGACTTAAGTGCTTTTATTTCTCCTGTTTGCAGGTAGAGCAAAGCTGTGAAACTAATCCTCGGTACTTTATCTAACCTTCATGTGATTGATAGTATTCCTAGAGATGTTTAATGCTTGTTGTAGACAATGTAAGATTTCTGGTTAAATCCCACAATGAAATATGGTATTAAAGTCTCAAGTTTCTGTTTTCCTTCCCTTCAAATAGCTCTTGCTAAAACCAAAATTTAGTGGTGTTGAAAAGATAAAAACCATTGGAAGCACTTACATGGCAGCAGCTGGTCTCAGTGTTACTCCAGGCCAAGAGAACAACCAGGTACATGGTCTCTGAAATCTGTCTTCGGTATTCTCTGTGTACATAGGTTACATTCAAAGTAACAAAATGTAATGTGATTTAAAAGAGAAAGTAAATCACCAAGAGTGACTTTCTGAAATGTAGGAAAAGGTGAGAGAAGTGTATTGTTTCCTTCTGATTTCACTATTTATCTCCTAGTTCAGTTTTTTTTTCCTAAGCAGGTATTGTCTGTAACCACAGCATACTTTTTACATCTTTAATCTTTGATTCCAGTAGGTTAACATTTCTAGATAACAGAATAGCTCTAATAATAGGGAAGTCAAATAAAGGCTGCCAAATAAAGGCCATCTCAGAATTGGACAATAAGCTTTTTGTGATACCTGAGAACTGGCACGAAAAGAGGATCCTTGAGTGCCACATTAGATCTGAATCTGAAACTGTTTGTCATCCAGAAGAATTAAAACCAATTTCTGTACTCAGGCTCACTTTCACTATAGGAGGTTTGTGTATGACTCTCGGATGCGGATACAAAACATGTAAAATTGAATCTGGAATCCTAGAAGAGAGACATACATTCATTATAAAATTTAACCATATCATGCTTGTCACCTCATAGCCATTCCAATTGAATTTAACATAGTTTTTTTACTCCATTTTGAATGTTTGTTGAACTGTGCAATTCTGCGTAGTCGCAGGGGTGAGTGGTCTCATCCTTATAAATATATACTTAATTCATTAATAGTACTGCTTTGGAATAGTAGCCTGACACAACCCTCTGCGTTGTAATTTGATCATTAATATGTATGTGTTGTGAATTGCATAGGATAAGGAGAGGCAGCATGCTCACATTGGGATTATGGTGGAATATGGAATTGCCTTGATGAGTAAACTGGATGGCATCAACCGACATTCCTTTAACAATTTCCGCTTACGTATTGGTAAGTTTAGTTTGTGAAGAACGTGAACCCAACCCTGCAGCTCTGTAAAAATTAAAAATGAGGTAGGATGATTTAGGTAAATTGCTGAGTGCTGTGGAGACCTTCTTAACACGGAACACAATGTTTGGATTAATATAAAATGCTGGATAGCTGGAAGTACTATTTTCTGGTCCAGCTTCTCTAATCTGCCAAGCTCCTTTGGGGATGGGCTTTTCTCATTGCTGGAGGGAGCAACACCAAGACTGCAGCTGGATGAGTTTGGAGAAGATTAAAAAACACATGAGGAATGAAGTACCCTGTTATCACGTGTTGACTAAAGGACAATATTGTCATTATACAAATGTTTATCTCTATATCCTAAAAGTAGAAAAGGAAGAATTTAGCTAGGTATGAACTTTGCCCTAGCTCTTTCTTGGACTTACATTTTACAGTGAGAGTCACTTCACATCTCTTGAGCCTCAGGACTAATATTTCTAGAACAGCGGTAATACGGATTGCTAGAAAAGTGTTGCAGGGTTAAGTTCTGGGGTTTTTTTCCCTCTGAAGCTCCTGACTTCCTGCCTATAATGAAGGTAGATATCCCATAACTTTCTGCTTCGGTCATGACACCTGCTTTTGTTTATGCTAAGGGATAAATCATGGCCCTGTGATTGCTGGTGTGATTGGAGCCCGGAAACCTCAGTACGACATTTGGGGCAACACTGTTAACGTCGCCAGCCGAATGGAGAGCACGGGGGAGCTGGGGAAAATCCAGGTAAACACATCAGCCTTGGAATGCCTAAGAAATTATTTCTAATTGGGTATGGATTTTTAAAAAATTGGAATAATCAGAAGAATTTTATCAGAGTTTTTAATTCTTTTCAAAGGTCACAGAAGAAACAAGTAAGATACTACAGGAGTTGGGATATTCATGTGAATGTAGGGGACTCATTAATGTCAAAGGCAAGGGAGAACTGAGGACTTACTTTGTTTGCACTGAGACTGCCAAATTCCAAGGTATGGGACTGAACTGAGGCTACAATGATGTTAATCAGAACAGACCTAGAACTGCCTCCCTTCTGTGAAGACTTAGAATTTCCCTCCTTATGTGAAGGACTTTATTCTAAAAACATATATACTATTCCTATTTCTTCAACATCTCAAGATGAGAGGGTTGGGTTTTTTTTGAAAGAAGTTCTGAAACATTCCTAGAAGACATGCAACAACCAGTCTGAAAAAGACTACTTATCCCTGAAATTCTTCGAGGATTTGCCTGGAATTGCCGTGGGGCATTTTCAGTTAATTCCTCCTTACCTGCACTGTGGGAGTCTTAACAGCTCCAGTAACAACACGTGTGGATGCACTGCAGAACTTGTTACCACATTAAAACATTGCGCTGTGTCATTCTCTGACACGCACCTGCCTACAGTATTGCCTTTGTCGCAGACCTGCGAGATGATGCTCTGGACACTGCGTAATCCCGCTTAACGCTAAACAGACCTCACAGCAGAAGGCACTGAGTAATGAAAGAGGAACACAAGTAAACTCAAATATATCATTTGATAATTGTGCTGAGCTCCTTTGGAAAAAAAAAAAACATTAATTGCGCAGTATCAGATCACTTTTTTGTTATCTTCCCCTCCTCCATAAGTACTCTGTATTATGCAAATGTTTTCATGATCAACAGCTGTTCAGAAATAACTTTAACCTAGTTCAGAGGTTTATGTTATATTATATTGTTCTCACATTTTTAACAGTCACATTAGAGAATGCCTTTAATATTTGGGCTTTAAATTTCAAAAAGTATACCTGATCCTGAGAAGCACTGAGCACCTGAAGTTTTTCCTGCATGCTTGGTTAGGTAGGCTCTGGTAACAGCTAGTTTCACTGCCACCAGGCAGGAATTCTGCATGCTGACTGCATTCTTGAAGGCACTTATGGGAAGAAAAAATTATCTGTTTTGAATTGTTTGAAGAACAGAACTAGTATTATTATAGAAACAGTAGCAGATACTGTATAAACTACCATGTCTGAGGTGGGGTTTGGGTTTTTTTTCTATTCTTGTTTCTTCAGTTTGACTAGCTACTGGCTGGTTTATATACCTTTTAAAGGCAATGCAGTTTATGAAAAAAAAATTGGGTTTGAAAGTTACAAAATGATGTATGGAGAAAACATACTGATAATGGAATACTTATGTTTCAGCAGAGCCTCAATACCGAAAGAGCATAAGTAGAGCATTAGTAAGATGATCACAGAAATTGACTTGCTGTAACTTAGTTTGTAAAGTTTTTAAGCTGTTAATGGCTTTTGCTAATTTCTAAATTAGCATTTTTCTACTTTCTGCAGTCACTTAATCTGTTTTCTGTTGGTGGAGATGATAGTATTTTCTAAGGCTAACATCTTATGCACTATGATATGTACTAACTAAGGATGGATTTCCCCCTCCCCCCCAATACAGCACATGTAGTATGACTAAACAGCACAGTGATTAATGAGTTCATCGGCTTTGTTAAGCCTTACTCTTCTACAAACAAAGCAGCATTTACTAATATTTCTGGGTTTAGTACTAAACCATACTGAAAAAGTGTTTAACAAGCAGTCCTATGCACCACTGCTTTCTAATTACTGTGTAATTTCTTTAGAAGATGAAGTGACCATGTTTCAAGACAGGAACAAATCTTAAATATTGTCCAACTGTGGATTAAAAATCGTGCTTATAGCCTTTGTCAATTTGGTAGGTCAAAACTGTGTTTGTAGTAAGTCTCCAACAGAAAATAGCACATTAGAAAACCTTAGTTTGAGGTTGTCTGGTTCATGTATGGACTCTGCTTGAAGAAGTAGTTTCATACTCAGTGTCTTATTAGTATAAGGTCAGTGTTGTAGTTGAATAAACTTTCAAGCAGCTTTTGCTACACTTGTATGTTGTGTATTTGTAGTAACAGGTGATCAGCAAGCATTTGTTTTGAGATATTTATTTATTGTTTTATAAGGACCATGCATGTGTCAGAGGCTCCTTTCAGCAGTCTTTGATGGCATGTTAGGTAAAGGAACTATTTGCCTCATGAATATATTTTGAAAAGTGCATTATGCCTATAGATAGAGCTGGCTCTGGAGTGTTTCTGTTCACAGACCTAGTAGAATGTAGATGTAAGCTATCTATGGAAGAAAATTCGCTGTCTGTAACAGCATTTTGAAATGCTTTTGTTTACATTATATTGCCTGTCAGGCTAGTAACTTGCTTGGGTGTAACTTCAATTTAACCTCATTTATAGAAGTGTTAGAAAGAGCAGTAGCTTTCAAGCTGGAAGAAGCCGGTTTTAAAAGGCCATTATGCTCTTGCAGCATTCACTCCATGTTGGTGTACTGTGCAAGGCATTCTTGGATAAGTTGGAAACTGTGTAATGAAAAAGGGGTTGTATCTGAGGATGACTTTCTGATTTCTCATCAGAACTGGAACTGTGTAATAGGAGAGCTACATTCAACCACAGAAAAAGCTCAATTTAAGAAGCAACTGTATTTAAAGAATGGTTTTCAGCAGTCCTTTTGTGAGTGAACTGTGAAATGTAAGATTGAGGAAATAACCTTGTTAGAAAAATCTCCCTTACAGCATTATTGTTTTCTTAAAACTGAAAAAATGGCACTGTATCTAATTTGAAGAGCTAATAATGTCTTGAATTAGCAATCTAATTTAAAGAACAAAATTGGTTTTTACCATTAAATAAAAAATTTCCTGAAAGTTGTCTGGTTTTGCAATTATTTTGATGATTCCAATAAAAAAGTGTTTTTCTTATACCCCTATAGAGTTAATTAGGTTGTTTTTACTTATAAACTCAATGTTGTGGGTTTTTTTTTTAAATTGTGTAAGTAGAAAATACCTAGAATGACATACTTGTGTTCAACAGATAAAGAATAATTTCAGTACTCAGTCTTCTGTCCTCTGCGGCCTCCCGCACTGTATGAAAGGTAAGCGATGGGAAATGAGATGCTAGTGTGAGCCAGTAATGATTTGGCTGGCATGGCTGTTGTACATCTTGTCTTCTCTTGTAGCATGAAAATGTCTTAAATATTAATGGAAAAATTAATTCCCTGGAGCACTATTTCAGCTGCAATTACCTAGAACCGTGAAAAAAATTCTAGTGGTGACTTTATTAAGAACAATTCTGGGACAACTGAAAGTACTGTGAAAAATGCAGGTTGATGGGTCAACCTTTCTGGAACGAATTTTAAGAATTATGTAAGTTTAAAAATAATTAAACAAACACTTCTGCAACTGTTTTTAGACAGGAGGAAGGGAGTGTAAGAAAGATGTTGGCCGTAAGACTGGGATTAGAGGGTGGAATTCATGATTATGCTTTGCCTGTAAGTTGCTACTTCTTAGTTCAGTTCTCTGCCAGCGCACTAATCAGAGGGAGCTGAAACACTGCCTGTCATTCCTGTTCAGGTCCAAGGTTATACTGGAGCCATGGGGTAAAAAGGAGCACCATTTTAAAAATAATTAAGAAATACCTGTGGTAGAACCTATGTATAGTGGTGCGCGAGTGTGTGAAAGGCGCAGAGCCTCCATGTCCAGGAGTCGCCAGCTCCATGTGTGACAGTGCAGCAGTGCCTGAAAGCTGCTGTGGCAGCTGCTCTGGCTGCAGGGCTGGTGAATATGGACATTAATGCTGAGAGTGCTTGAAATGTGCTCTCCTTTCTGATAAGCAAGACCGCAATCATTATCCAGATAGTGTTTAGTAATACCTCCAAGTAGTAATTGTCTATGTGAGTGTCTCAGAGTTGACTGTACTACATTAAGGTGGTGTTTTTACTCACTGGTAGCAAGAAGGTTTGTTAGGCTCACTTTATCATGGTATGTCTCTAAGCTTGCCCTCAAGTTTTAGAATACTCTGAGATGCTGGCATTGTTTCTCTAACAGGAGATCCATCCACATTTGATGTCTCACAAAGCTGATCTTCTGTTAATTCATCAGGCTATGTCAGTTTTGTTTAAAAAGTTTGTTTCTTTTCCTTGTGATTGTCGGAGTTGCACAGTAGCTTTAAAAAAGGAAACTTGCCTGGTCAGATACTAATGATTTTTGTCCCCACCAGGTGCAAAGACAGTCTATACATTACTTTTAGAAACCTTTGGTTGAGTTTCTGCACCATACATAGGCACACTTTGACTTTTCCAGATATTTAACAATCTAGGAAAACTCAAATGCTGCAGTGGTGCTTTAAAAAAAAATAAGGAACACGAAAAGAGTAATTTAGTGCATTTAAGTAACAGAAGTAACTCTAATACAAACCACACAATTTCAAATGTCATCAGTTCCAAAATTTAATAAACAAAAGTAGTTTAACACACAATATACACTTGCTCAGTGAATGCACCTGAAGGAAGTTTATCTGGTTCTTAAACAGAATCAAACAAACAGCCATAAACATAACTGAAGCTTCAGCTTGTAACTGAACCACACTCATTCTCAGGGATGGTGACAGTCTTTTTAGGCTCCTGAAAGTCTGAAAGTTTACAACAGATACCAGGTCAGTGAAATGAAAGAAATGCATACACAAGGGAGTACTCTGAAAGTCATTTGCTATGTGTGCAGACAGGCCTGAGTTAACTGTTGGTCTGTTACAGCTCAAGAAACAATGATGTTGCAGTTGGTTCTGTTACACAGCCTCTCTTGTACAGTGCTACGAAAAAGGAATTGCTCAATAATTTTGAAATTGAAATTTCTGGAGCACTTTCCTTGAAAAGATAAGTTCCTGAAGTAATGCAGCTCTCTTCATTAAGTAACATCTTAACTGAAACTTCTCATTAACCACAGATTGAGGAAATTTGTTGTGTGAATTATGATTCTTGAAAGGAAATTCTTACCTACTTTAAAAATTGGAGACAAACACAAACTCCAGGTATGCTTTTACCGGCTATAAGCCACAAGGGGGAGATCTGGCTCTGACTTAGGTTTTCCACTGACCTGACTCCTTAATCCAGCAAAACCAGTGGCTCCTTTTGGCTGGGTATGTTGTGTTGAACTGACGTTGTCAACTGACAACATACTACAGCTGGCCCTGTTAAGCACAAGGAGCTCACAGCCAAAAGCTTGGAGGAGAAGGAAGCATGATGTCCTCGTTTTAGCAAGTGAGGAATTTTAACTTCTCTTGTAACTTCATGCTGAATGGAAAAAGTAAAATTGCATGGATTGCCAAGCTTTAGAATTGGGCAATGCTCTGAGATGAATGGTGAAATAACTAGTTTATGCAGTTGAACCAAAGTTCCATATATCCAAAAGATTAATTTTGGACTGAGACCAAACACAGCAACTTTCCATTAGACGGAATTTTAAAAAGGGGAGAAGAACTGATGTGTTTTTTAGCTCAGCAGATGCCACCATACATTTTTGTATACTCACCCTCTGTCAAATCCACCCAGCTGTCTCCTGTATCAGGTAAAGGGACTGAAATTCCCATTGCTTTCCGGATTCCATAGGTACTAACAATATCCCCTGGAGTCACTTGTTGTGCAAGTTCTTTCAGGTTATTGGTCACTCGCTCCGCTAGGAAAGACACATGGCTGTATTTTTATGCTTTATATACACACAAAATTGCTGAAATAAGCCTGTAAGCAGTTTCATTATCTAAATACAAATAGAACTATGTTACAGAAACATTTTTTAACAGAAGAGTTTTGTTGTAGTGTGCACAATCATGCAAGACATACTGGGAACTGTAAAAGAGATGGTTAAGAAGAACAGGAGGAATGAAGCAGCTGCTGACCAGGGCTTGCTGCCATCAAGAAACCCTGAAAATTAACACGTAAGGTAATGCTGCCTGGGTCATACTAGTGCAGCAGCAGGGCGAGAGCTGGTGGCACCCTCACAGCTGCTGGGTTCCTAATATCTGGCTTTCAGGATTCAGCACTTAGTTTTGTATATAAACAAGAGAGACACTTCTTGCTGCTACAAAGGGGGTTTTCCTTAAGAAGGAACCTGTAAGTACTTAAACTTTTTAAGAGAGGTAATATCTTATCTGATCTGGTTTAGACTTGGTATAATACCAACTTGGTAATATTCCTCCAATACTGGGGAATTTTTCTTATCACATATTAAGGTAGTTATTTTAGCCCATGTGTGCAATATCAAGTACAGCAGAAGTTAAGTTTTACTTGCAAAACAGATACCCTCTGCACACAGTCCTCTCTTCAAAGGTTGCTGTTAACACCAGCTGTATAACTGACCTCTGAGACAAGAAGCACTGCTCCAATAATTAAAGAGGTATCATGAAGTAGACTGATAACTGACCAAACCCAGAATAAAGCTAGCCTTAAAGTAAGAACTTGGTAATATTTAAGGAACCCCTGTTCAAAGACATGGTAAAAATCACAGAGTTAGAGGCGTTTGATCACCATCTGCCCATGGCATAGGGGCAGCTCCCAATCAGTTCTAGGGAAGTTTATTAATAAAGAGGAAATACTTGTAATTACTGTTCAAAACTTTCATCTGGCATGACGTATGAAAATTATGTTAATCTTCCATGCCTAACAGAGCACATATTCTGCACTGTAACTGTTAAACTTCTGTCTGTCTTGGAGTTGACATAGGCTGTGACTTGATCGATTCTGCAAGAATGATCAGAAAAAGTGTATTTACCCAAGTGCATCTCTCTGTAAGATGGACCCAGAAGACAAATCATATTAGGGGGTGGTTTTGTACTTAGTCGTTCATTTTGAGCATCCTGGAGTTCTCTCAGAAGCTTTGTTGTTTCATCAAGTTTCCTCTGGAAGATTTCAGCCTCTGTTTAATGAAAAGAAAGTCCTAACTAGTAAGAAAGTGTATTTACTTACATTATGCTATAAAATATGGTAAGGCTGACTACATGAAGGGACTGGGAACTGAAACAAGTTACAGAGATATCAGAAGTGCAAGCACTAAGAAAACTCACCTTCAGAATCAAACTCTTCCGTAGGCATGCCAAAGTTTGTTACTGCTTTTAGTGCCGTCAGTCTGTCATTATTAGCAGAGTCTAACCTGGCAGCAATATCAATTTCCATAATCTAAAAAAACCACAGCAGATAATATTTAGGCCTGCCTTGAAACCACAGAGTTGTTTGAGGAAAATCAAAACACAAAGTTAGTTAAAAGTAAGTCTGCTCTACAAAAAAAGCGAACATTTAGAGGGAAAACTGAAAAGACACCATCTGAAACCTACACTGTTCTACAGTTACTTGGTTTACTATTCGATTTCATACTCAAATAGAAAGTGGCATCTGCCAAAAACTGGGGGTATGCACAAGTGATACAGTAACTTAAGACCAGCATCCCAATTAAAAAAAAAAAAAGTAATCCTTGAGCTCCCCTAAAGCAGTTTATTAAAGATCCAAGGCCAAAATTCAAAACCAACCTCGAAATTGGCTGCAAACAAAAGCTTCAGGAGAGCAGCCCTTTCCCTAGAACTGCTGCTATACTTTTCTAATTGAACAAAGTTCGGGTGGAATTTTAGAGATATAATGTGTGCCTATAGGGGCACAAGGTATCTAAGAAAACCTGCTCAAAGACAGCTAATGTATCATGTGATATTTTACACTTATAGTGCAAATTCATCTTAAACCAAGTCAGATTAAGAATGGAATAAAACTGCCAACCAGAACATCCAACACACGATTAAATGAGCACTGACAAAAATACATAAGCATTTTCTTCCTCTTCTCTTGACATACAGTCTTGGAGATTCTTCCTCTCCAACTGTCCG